CCCTGCTGCTCTTTGTGGGACCTGTCCCTCAGGGTGGGTGGCGGAGCAGCCCTTGGTCCTCCAAGGGCTTGTGGCTGATGTCCCCCCTTGCCCCGCTGGCGGGACTGCTCCCCTAGTGCAGGTCAGCGCTCAACGTGGCGTGGAGGGAGGCCCGCTCATCTCACCATGGTGCTGCCACCGCCTGACAAGCGCCACGTGTGTCTGACCACCATCGTCATCATGACCAGCATGGCCTTCATGGATGCTTATCTGGTGGAGCAGAACCAGGGGCCCCGTAAGATCGGTGTCTGCATCATTGTGCTCGTGGGGGACATCTGCTTCCTCATCGTGCTGCGCTATGTGGCCGTGTGGGTAGGGGCGGAGGTGAAGACAGCCAAGCGGGGCTACGCCATGATCCTTTGGTTCCTGTACATCTTTGTGCTGGAGATCAAGTTGTATTTCATCTTTCAGAATTACAAAGCTGACAAGAAGAACCTGGAGACAGTGGCCAGGAAAGCCCTGACCCTGCTCCTCTCCATCTGCGTGCCGGGGCTCTACCTGGTGCTGGTGGCCTTGGACAGCATGGAGTATATACGGACCTTTCGGAAGAAAGAGGACCTGCGGGGCCGTCTCTTTTGGGTGGCCCTCGACCTGCTGGATATCTTGGACATCCAGGCCAACCTGTGGGAGCCACACAGGACCGGCCTGCCCATCTGGGCGGAGGGGCTCATGTTCTTCTACTGCTACATACTCCTCCTGATCCTGCCTTGCGTGTCCCTCAGTGAGATCAGCATGCAAGGAGAGCACATTGCCCCGCAGAAGATGATGCTCTACCCTGTCCTCAGCTTGGTCACCATTAACATTGTCACCATTTTCATCCGGGCCATCAACATGATCTTGTTCCAAGACAGCAGGGTCTCCACCATCTTTATTGGCAAGAACATCATTGCGATAGCCACCAAGGCGTGCACTTTCCTCGAGTACAAGCGGCAAGTGAAGGAGTTCCCCCAGAACGCCATCGCCCTGGAGCTCCAGCAGAACTCCCTCTCCCACAACCAGACCATCCACAGCACACAGGGCATTCCCCACGAGCCGTCGCCCACCAGCGAGATCCTCGACACATGATGGATCACCCTGAGCTGAGCCTTGGTTCAGATAGCCCCGTGGTGAGCAGAGGAGGGCTGCTGCTCTGTTGCTGCATGGGGTGAGCGTGGCAGACAAATCCTGGCAGCGAGGGCTCTTCTAGGCACAAAACACCAACCATGTTTTAATCGAGCTATGGAGTGTCCCCTAGACCTCTTCATCTCAGGTATAACCCTAGGAGTCCTCCAGACAAACCAAATGAACTTGCAAAGGACCTGAACCAGCTAATCCTCTCCCTCCCTTCCGCCGACTTCTCCCTTCCCGAACAAAGACCACCAGGGTTGCAATGCCCCTTTTTACTCCTTGAGCGCCTCACCTTTACTTCAAGTCTGGAATGAAGATTTTGTTACTGGAGACCTTTTTATGGAGCGGGGACAGGGGGATAGGTGTGCGGGTGGGGGGAGGGTGGTACCTTTGAACGAGTAAATCCTGTGATCGTAGATGTTTCTTATTTCAGATGGTTGTGTTTACAGTTTCCTATTTATAATGTCTCCCGGGAGCTCCCGCTGCGCCCTGGGGGGCTGGTTTCCTTCTGGCCGGTTCTGGGCAGAGAGCAGCCCCGCTCCCAGCAGGAGCCCCGCGACGAGCAGTGCCGGGAGGGTTAGCATGGCTCCTCTCCCTCCCGGGCCCCGACGGCCGGGGGCACGC